ATATATATTTGTATATTCCTTCAGTAATGGATGTTGGAAGGGCATTGAATCTGATTAAAGAAAATCTGAATCTGAATTTTGGAAATCTTTATTGTTATTTTAACCATCTTGTTTCTTCTTAATTTATTCACAGCTTTTGAACGTTTGGTTGAGAATAGCTTATTAGAATTTATGATCCCTGGTTTCTAGCCTTAACCACTAGATCATATTGGCTTTCCATAGTGAGATCTTCAGATTGATCTTCATACTGAGCTCTTGAAGGAAGGGTAGTTTATAACTAATGAGGGAAAGAAAGAAAGAAAGAAAGAAAGGAAAGAAAGAAAGAAAGAAAGAAAGAAAGAAAGAAAGAAAGAAAGAAAGAAAGAAAGAAAGAAAGAAAGAAAGAAAGAAAGATAGATGTGTGGCAATTCCTTGCTATTTTGTGTGGCTTAATTTTGCTTGATGTGTACAAAACAATATACAATTTTTTGAGAAAAAAATATTTTAAAGATGCCCAGCTCAATTTGACCAAAGGACAATTATTTAAATCCTGGAGTTTTACCTGAAAATAGCCATGCAAGCACAAATGTGCTTAAAACTAGATTGGAAACTAAATGGAAACTAAATGGAAAAGCATTTGTACTGGTGTTGTAAGATAGAGGGATGTAAAATATTATTGATTTAAAAAAAATGTTTAAACTCCATGGGGGATTCAGGATATTCATGACAAACAGTAGTTCAAACACAATATAGCAGACAGTTAGTATCCATATATAGAAGCACTTTAAAGGAGTACTTAAGAATTATGTATGTAGCGTTTTACATTTTTTGCAAAATACATTCACTCTACCATAAGAATATTTATAGAAGAAAACTGAAATCCAATTGTTGTCAATGTAGACCTTTTTCCTTTTAAACCACTAATGGAGTAAATGTTACAGATCAAGTAACTAGGAGGAAAGATATAAGCTTTTCCAACTGCAATACCTCTGGTCAAGATCACACTTTACCATAACCTCACTAAAATATAGAAAAGGGAACACTGGACTACTGCAACGCTCTCTACATGGGGCTCCCAACTGGTCCAGAATGCGGCCGCGCGGGTAATTACGGGAGCTGCCTGGTGCTCCCACATAACACCGCTCCTGCGTGAGCTGCACTGGCTCCCAGTGTTGGTGTTGGTCACCACCTTTAAAGCACTCCATGGCATAGGACCTAGTTATCTTCGAGACCACCTGCTGCTACCAATGACCTCCCACCGACCTGTGCGCTCCCACAGAGAGGGCCTCCTCAGGGTGTCATCAGCCAAACAATGTAGGCTGGTTACTCCCAGGGGGAGGGCCTTCTCTGTGGGGACACCTACCCTCTGGAATCAGCTGCCCCCAGAGATAAGGAGAATTCAAGACCTCGGTGCCTTCCACCGTGCCCTTAAAACTTTCTTTTTCCAGCAAGCTGGGCTGTCTTAACATAACATTTTTAAAAAACATTTTTAACTGGTTTGTCATTTTAAATTGGGGCCAAATTAATATATATCCTTTTAATTGTTTTTAATGTTTGTATTGTATGTTTTTAGCTGGCTGTACACCGCCCTGAGTCCCTCGGGAGAAGGTGCGGTATATAAATTCGAAATAAAATAAAAATAAAATAAAATAATAAAATAAACACAATTGCTCTAACCTAGAGTGTTGCTTAATCCCTCCCATTCTGTTCTGCCAGTGGACCTAGATCTTAAATCCTCCATTTAAGGATCATATAATGCTACTCCTGATTAATTCTAGAAAACCTTATAAAATGATGCAAGATCTAGAGGCATCTATAGATAGAGAGAAATGTGTTTGCTTCCACATCTTGAAGCACAGTCTACAAAATAATTTCCATGTTTTCCTGAATTTGCTGCTGATATTCAAATAGATCCCTTGCCTTCCAGGCGAAGATACATGTCTCCTCCCTTGGTCTTTACATTTAATATTTGAATTTAAATCTATGTTTAATGTTTGCCTATATTTTTTTAAAAAATATTTGGCATGACTTTACATTGAATCAGGCTCCAGTTCAATTAATAATCCAAGCAGCTCTTTGGAAGGGATCAAGGTGAATGTTTTGGCTGAAAGGTTAAAAAAAAACTCAGATACGGACATCAGACCCAACTGTGTACAAAATCTCTCTTCTGTATCCAACAACTCCCAGAATCAGTCTTCAGCATCTTCAAGGAGAGCTGGAAAAAAAAATAAAACACTGCTTAACACCAAGGAGAGCTATTGTCAGTCAGGGTTGAAAATAGGATGAGAAGGACCCGGGGTGGGATTCAAAAATTTTAGCAAGGATTCTCTGCCCAGTTGCTGGGTGGGTGTGGCCATGGTGGGCATGGCCTAGTCAGCCTCCTGCACCAGGGTGGGAGGGGGCATTTTTACCTTCCCAGGTTCCAGAGGTTTTCCTCGAGCCTCTGGGTGGGCAAAAATGGCCTCTCCAGGCTCCAGAAGCCCTCTGGAGGCCAGAAACAGGCCCATTTCTGGCGTTCCCAAACTTCTGGTAGGCCCATTTTTTGCCCTCCCTGAGCCTCTGCACACCCCCTACACTTACCTGCATCCAAAACAGGCTGCGTGTTTTGAATGCAGGTATCCTGGGAGGGGTGGGGTGGATGGGGACAGCCAGGAATGGGATTTGAGGGTTCTCCAAACTATACAGAATCTTAGCTAGAGGTTCTCCTGAACCTCTTCGAACCCCCAGCAGCCCACCCATGAGAAGGACCTGCAGTCTGACTTGGGATCAACTGCTTCTGATGTTCCTGCAGAGATGCTGTTGCCAGGTCCAAAATATTAAACCTACCTGACCTTTCATCTGCCCTGATCAAGTCATAACAGTTCAATTTACATCTTGTTCAGCCAAGGCAGACCTTAGACAGGGTTTCTAGGAAACCTTTGGCTTGTGATTAACTGCCCTTTCCACTGGATTAAATTGGTGAAATGTTCATTGAAAGAAAGCTGTTCTCTATTGTTGCATTATTTACGCTTCCCATCTTGATAAATTAAAAAACAACAACAATAAAACGAGGCCACCTGACATTTAGGGCTCTAAATGCAAATTTACATTGAAAACCTGTCCTTTGTACTCTTCAATACATCTGATAGGTGAGAAAATATGCATGTGGATCCTTTTTCTTGGGTATTAGCAAGGTGAAATATCTGGTTCTAAAACCACAGCCGTTGTATTTCTCTCTGAAGGAGATGGGCGGTTCAAAAATGTGAAAAATAAATAAACAGAAACAAATTTGCATTGAGAAGCACCAACACGGACTTGGAATTCTTAGATGATCTGTTTAAATGCATAAGGAATCAAAACAGCAGAAGACAAATATAATGTGCATTATTAAGTTTTATTTAATAATATAATGTGTTTCTAAATGGAATAATGAAATCAGCAACACGTGTGATAATATTTTGACCGCAGAGAGAAATATATTATCATAGAAATTATTCAGAACCAGTCACCGTAGAGTCTGCACAGCAGCAGACCCAGCAGTTGGTTAGAAGAATCACCCAGAGAAGCTTCTTGGATCCTACGTAGGGATCCCAGGATAGTATGTGATAAGCAATTAATGTAAATTGGTTCTTTTTGCCAGGGTTTTCCAGTTGCATTGAGAATTTCAGTGTATTTTTAATGACTATATTATTCTAATTGGATAAATATAGGTTTTTATTCTGAGTATGTTCAAAATAAACACTGACTTAAATATCCCGCACCAAATTGGCAGGCATGAGAGGATGAATCTTAGGAGTTGAGAAACAGCAATTAATAATTTGCTCATTGCTCTAATCATGAATATGATATCTTCCTAGAAATTCCCTGCTTTGAGGGATCCAGTCCATGATGAGTTTAGGAAGAACAATTGTCCTAGATCATTATAAGAGGCCATCAGTCTCAACTAGCAGTATGTCTTCAACCCCATGTGGTTGAGTGGTTCACTTTGATTCTTTATGACAGCTAGACCAGGGGTGAAATCCAGCAGGTTCTAACAGGTTCTGGAGAACCGGTAGCGGAAATTTTGAGTAGTTTGGAGAACCGGCAAATACCACCTCTGGCTGGCCCCAGAGTGGGGTGGGAATGGAGATTTTGCAATATCCTTCCTGTGCCACACTCATCAAGCCACGCCCACAGAACCGGTAGGGAAAAATTTTGAATTTCACCCCTGAGCTAGGCAGTAAGGGAGAAGTGAACAAGAATACCAAGGATATTAAGAAATTCATTGTTTATGAATTCTGGACTAATTTGAATTGATTCATACTTCCCAAATCGATGTGTGAATTTTCTATTAAGTTTCCTTGTGCAATAGTTCAACTCCATAAATATTCTAGCACAGTTCAACTAAAACCAAAATCTAAGACATATAACGGTGTGTACTTCAAAAGGCGATGTTAGCTTTAAAAATTCATACTTGGAGAGAAAGTCTCCAGAAATGAATATTTTAAGGAACTTCAAACTCCATATTTGCTGTACTTAACATATTACAGTATAAACTGGATTTTTCTTTGATTCAGTGCAGAAATGGAATAGAATGAATTTAGCAATCAATATAATTGAAGCAAATTGATCCATCAGCCCCTTGAAAATGCTACTGTAGTCTCTAATGTTATTTTTTTTCCTTGTGGTGTTTTGATTTAAGTTTGCGAATTCCTTAAATCAGAAGCCAGAATCCTGATATCTTGCAGATATTTTAAATTACAAGCCTGCAAACTATTAATTACATTAGTATAAATTTTTTTGCATGAGATTCTTTTATAACCTTAACTGATAACTTGCTTCCACTGCTGCTTTGTGAATATTCACAAGTTAGCATATGAGTTATAATCACTATTCCATGTTGAGTCATTTCAAAATTGGGGATTAAAATCATCTAACTCATTATTACTAGCCTCTGCCTTTTACCATCCAGCATCAGTTCACATGGGTTGAATGAGATGGGTGCCCTATAAATATAATAAATAAACAAATATTCAGGTCTCTCATTTATGTATTTTTCATAGGCAGCCACAGTGCAACAAAAAAAGGGGCAACAACTGAGACAAGTTCATATTGGAAGAAATCCATTCTGTCCTCAGGAATCAAATCATCAGAGCAGGCTGGGTGATTCAGCTTCAAAAACAATGAAACTAAAGTCATTTGTTGTCACAATAGCACTTCTCCTTCAAATTTCCATGGTAGGAGGGCAAACATTTTGTAATAGATCCTTGATGTCTGAATGGAATACCCAGCCAACATTACATACAGTGAAATGGTCACTGAGCCAAGACATCTGCTCCAGCTTCTTCACAGAATGTTGGAATATTGATTCGTACCATGGAAGCAGTACTGCAGACAACGTGCCTCTGAGATTATCCCAGATTTGTCCTCTGCAACTTCAGCTGGGAGATGTGCTCTTTGTTTCATCGGAGCCATCTTTTCAGTCTTATGGCATGAACCTGGCAAATGTTTCCTTGGAAGAATTTATTCGATGCCCTCAACCAAGAGATGTCCATCAGCATCAGCTTCTATTTGACCATGGATTAAATGGAATGCATCAAATTGTTCCCAAGTGGCTTGGCGTTGGAACACATTACTTTGCAGAGGTCCCAATACGAGGACCACTTTTATGTCATTTTGGACTTCGATTGAATGTGACAGTGAAGCCACATGCTTGTCAGAAGTTTTCAAACTCAACGTTTTGCTCTGGTCATGGCAAATGTTTAAGTCATATCTGGGATGGAGCCTATCATTGCCACTGTAGTCATCCCTATTCTGGACAGTTCTGCCAAGAAATTGATAAGTGTTCCAGTAAACCTTGCCACAATAGCGGCATCTGCATTAGCAGAAAGAGCCAAAGAGAAGATGCTGAAGATTCATATGAATGTATTTGCCCCCCCTCATTTACAGGTAAGATCACATGGATTTCTGAAACTTTAGTGCTTCTTCTGGCCATGTGTTCTGAGTTTATCTTTCTGTTGTGCAGAAGCAAAATGTGTTGTTACTGTTCTTTTTTTTTTTTTTTTTGTACAACTCTCAAACTGCTCTCAAACTGCTCCTGTTGTCTTCTTTGCTACGGTATCTATGTTTCCCAGCCTGCATGTTCCCTTGCAATGTCTAGCGTATGTTGGTTACAGCATTTGACTTTGTGTAGATCTTAAACGAGCAAGCAAGCAAGCAAACAAACAAACAAGCAAAAGACTGGATCAAAAACATGGCATAGGGGAACAGGTACTCAGCCCTCGACCTAAAACATGCCTGTGGTAAATGGATGTCTCCTGCCATTACTACCATCAATAGCAATAGCAATAGCACATAGACTTATATACTGCTTTACAGTGCTTTACAGCCCTCTCTAAGTGGTTTACAGAGTCAGCATATTGCCCCCCAACAATTTGGGTCTTCATTTTACCCACCTCAGAAGGATGGAAGGCTGAGTTAATCTTGAGCCTGGTGAGACCTGAACTGCCAAATGTAGTCAGCTGGCAGTCAGCAGAAGTAGCCTGCACTCTAACCACTGCATCACCAAGGCTCATCAATAATGTTCTCCCAACATGAATGAAAATACCGAAAGGCCATTGTGATTTTGATCACAGTACAGAAAGAGTTTAAAGCTCTCCCTTCATTCTAGCACACAGCTCTGCCTTTTCTCATTCCAGCCACTGGTTAAATGGAAATCAGTTAGATGAGAAACATCGTTTTCAGCTCAGCTCCTACTAGGCTTAAGATTGGAAGCAACCTCTTGAAAAATGCAATACTAGATTGTCTTTAAGAATGAACTGACAATATGTAGTAGACAGCATAGATCCCCTCGGCATCTACTTTAAATGCGCAGGGAATAAAAACTTCCTTGATCCAGTTTTATTACAAAGGTCAAAAAAAACCTTTGAATATGTAAAGAGTCAAACACAGTGTGAGCTTTTGAACAGTAGCGTTTTAGGTAAAGCCCAAGCAAACAATGTGAAAGAATCTGTTTTGATTAAAATGTTAGGATAGTAGCTTTAGTTATAGCTGACAGGTGTGAGCAAAAGAATAATGGTTGTTATAGTGTTAATTTTTTTTTTTAAAAAAAGGAAAAAATGCTCAAGTGTGAATAACCGTACAGCAACAATTCAAATGACAAGCATAATTATATGGTATTTAGTCCCATATACTGGAAAAACACAAAAGCAATTTGTGATTGGTAATTTCCAGTAAACAGCATGTTTAAGCAGAATTCATCCTGAAACTGCCTTTCCAGGCAGCTGTTAAATCATGTTGAAAAGCAAATATTAGAATATGTCTTTTTGTTCAAATATTGGAACGTTGATTATCCCCTGAAATTTGACCATATGCAGCTCATCTTATGTATACGAGTTCAGTGAAACTGCCTTGGGGGGGGGGGAATTTTGACTAGGATTATATCTTCATTTGTGCTAAACATTTAGATATAAATATCTAAGAACTGTCTCTTTGGTGCCATCCGCAACACATTTAAATCAGCATCCTGCCAATTACAGGTCTTTGGAGCTTCACAGACTAAATATTGTATCAAGATCCATTCCTTCTTTTGTGCAGCATTTGGCAATTGGAAGTTCCTTTCACTTGTGTGGTTAACAGTGAAATCCATCTTCCTTCCTTCCTTCCTTCCTTCCTTCCTTCCTTCCTTCCTTCCTTCCTTCCTTCCTTCCTTCCTTTCTTCTTCCTTCCCTCCCTCCCTCCCTCCCTCCCTCTTCCTGCAATGCCCTTGGTGCTCTCTGTATCTCCTACACATATGTTTAGTGATTACACCTGCCCCTTTTGGAACCATAGTGTTAACATCATATACAATCCATTGCTTCATGCTAATAATATTAAAAGAGTCATTTAAATACAACCATGGAAACAACAGCAATAATATTGCTTTGGATTAATAATAAAAAGCGAAACATGTACTGTACACTTTATGCATGCTAATTTTAATTCCTGTATTTTCATCTTCATTCTTTGGTAAAGCTCCATTCATTTTGAAAGTTTAGATTAAATGTGGTGTTGTTTTTTTTTTTCTGTCTTGTTTTATAAGGAAGAAACTGTTCAGAAATAATTGGGCAGTGTCAGCAACATTGTTGTGGCAACGGTAGCTGTAGCAATACTTCTCCAAATACTTTTAGATGCCGATGTGATAAAACTGCTACAGGTAAGAAATGCATCTATTGTACACAATGATATGCCAACTAGGGAATGCATATATTATGCTCCTTTTGAAACACAATTATGTCTTTTCTCTGGGCTGACATTAGCCAGTGAATTATGAATCAAGAATGTATATTTTACAAGTTCTGTGGAGGCTTCTTTATAGTTTACTCTTCCATGTGGTCTTCCAGAATGTAGATTAAATCAGTTCAAATCCATGCGACTTTATCGGGCAATAAATTAATTTAATTCCATTGAGTTGTCATTCTAATGACTAATTTTGCATCCATTTCACCATGGTTTAATATCTACATATAAAATGTTTTGCTCTATATGTCATAATATAAAACTGGTGTTCTCAATTCAGCACTTATATACACATATCTCCTTTAGTGTCAACCAATAGAAGATAATATTTGTAGCTCAGGATTGAAACTATGGGATCCTTGTTGGTCTCTGAGTTTGGTGATTTTATTGAAGACATTTCATTAGCATCATCAGTGTTAGACAAGGAGTGGGGTTTACACTCTTTTTATACACTAGTCATTTGCCCTGTCACAGTGTTGGTGGGAGTATATATAAAAAGAGAGTAAAGCCCATCCACTTGTAGAATTGATAAGGTTACCTAGTTGGGTAATGAAATGTCTGCAACAAATTTACCAAGCTCTGAAAATACCAAGGACCCCACTTTGAGTGTCTTCCCAGGTTTATACCCAAAGAGAAAAGACATCTTTTTTGAGAATGGGAATGCCCATTGCCTCCTGCTAAAGCAGAAGGGGGAAGTCTGCTCTAAGTATTCCTCTTGTAAAATGCATGAAATGAGAATCCATCAGCGGTCCTCAATTATTGCAGGTAATGCTTAATATAATGACACTGCTTTCATTGAAGAGGGTTGAAAGCACTGAAGTGGCCAAACAATTGCTTTATTTTCTAACTGGAAAAGACACCATTATGAGTCGGCCACAGAGAAGAATAAGAGATGTGTTTTTGTTGAATGAAGGGTATCTTGAGGGAGCTTAGCCTTTCAAGAATGTTGATATATGCATCACAAAATATCCATCATGAATAAAAATATTCAAGTATTCAAAAGTATGTGGAGAAGATCTTTGGATTGAAATGCATATTTTGAGAGAAAGATGGATCTAAACAAACATCTAAAGAGTATTTTTTTTTAAAATCTTAAGGCAGATATTTTTTTAAAAAAATAATGCTAAAATGAAACTGGCCTAAATGCAAATCGGATTGTTTTTCTTTTGGAGGAAACCATACACTTTGCCCTCATATAAAACATTTATGCAGTGTTTTTGTGTTCATTTCTGATGAAAGTGAGTAAAGCCATTCAGTTGAATTGAAATTTGCTTCTTTCACTCTAAGGAAAATTGATCCACTTTTTTTTACCACAAACTTCTGTAGCAACCTTTCTCAAACCTTTAAATAATTTTCACTTCTTGAGGAAACCCTTGCATAAAAATTACAAAAAACATGCAATTCATGTTTTCCAACTTTAGCAAGTGCAAAAAAACAAAACAAAACAAAAACCTGGCAATTGAGTTGTGGCATATAAAATGTCCCACTATTGCAAAAGCTAACATTGCATAATATGGAAAGTTGCAAAAACAATGTTTGCTTTTTCTAACCATGATCTCTGCAGAGCTCCTAGTACTCTCTTGCGGAGCCATAGTTGAGAAAGGCTTTTCATAAGCAATTTACAGACTTTTATTATTTTTACTTTTTCAACTAATTAAACTTTATCTCTAGCAGTTTAAAGATTTGTAAATTTGCTTCTGGTTCCATTTGGGACAGTTTGTATATATTGTGAGGAAAGTCCTCTTCCTTAAGTCCCTAAGAAACGTCAGGTAAAACTCAAAAAAAGGAGGAGGAGGGGGGGAGGAGGAGGAGGAGGAGGAGGAGGAGGAGGAGGAGGAGGAGGAGGAGGAAAAGGAAAAAAAAATAGCTGGACCATTAAGTAATTTTTCAATGGACTTTACAATATTATTGAACAATTTGATTGTATGTAGCAATAGCACTTAGAATTTTATACCACTTCATAGTGCTTTACAGCCCTCTCTAAGCAGTTTACAGAGTAGCATATTGCCTCCAACAATCTGGGTCCTCGTTTTACTGACCTCGGAAGGATGGAAGTATAAGTCAGTGTTGAGCCTGGTGAGATTTGATCTGCCAAACTGCTGGCAGCCAGTGATCAACAGAAGTATCCTGCAGTAGGAGGGAGGATTCATAGATAATTCATACATATGGGAGAACCTAGCTTGTTGAACTATATTACATTAAGATTGCATTAGTTTTAACTGTGATAGTCCCTTTTGTAATATGTGGGAATAACTTTGAGAGATGGGGGAAGAGCCAGAGTTATGGTGAGGCATTTTAGCACATACCGGTAGTAGAAATGTGGGCTTGGCAAATGTCTCAGAAGGGACCCTCCCTACTTTCCTAGGCTGTAAAGGCTACAGGAGAGAATGCCCACTTTCCTTCCAGACCCTGCTCTTCATGAATAGAATGCAGAAGACACATTTTTGTGGTGAGCTCATGAATTGAGTAGATGGGAGTCAAGAGTTTTCAATGAAGTCCACAATTGTATTGCAACCCTTATGGACACAAAGTTTGAATGAGCCTCATTTCTTAAACATTTGTAGATGTAATTAATTTACAGAATATCTAAGGAATAAAATTTAGCCTGTATTACAGAGGAATAAAGACAGATTATAAATGGACCAATATAAAAATAAGAAAAATTTCTAAAACTATTAAAAATATTAAGCCAGGAATGGTGCCTGGAGCAGATGAATTATCAGCTTCTTATTGTACATGTTTTGAGGATGAACTTTTACAATCTTTACAAAATACAATGAACTCTACCTTACAGGAAGATGCCAGAGAGTTGAAGAGGTCAATATAGCACTAATACCTAAAGTCGAACATGATTTGACTTTAACCAGAAACCAATATCATTTTGAGATTATAGTATGCCCAACGATGGGGAAATTCAGTATTACCCACAATAGAGGAATGGTAAATGAATATGATGGAAATACTGGCTAAAGTGACTTCATTAATCAGAGAAAAGATAGTATTTACATTTATTGCTGATTGGAAAGTACAGAGTTTTTGCATAAAATAGAAACAAAACGAACTGATTATTTTGGTTTTGATGATTAAATAAAACAGATTATAGAAAAATGACAGTGATGTTGTAACCATAAAGTAAGAAGTAAATTCATAATTGTACTTATAAGTGCTTCAAAGAAGATCAGAAGCTACTTCATTGTATCTTTTTTTTCTTTCTATTCTATTTTCCTTTTTTTCCTTTCTTGTACTTTTAATTTTCTGTTTCATTTATTTCTTTTTTTCTTTTCTTTTTGGTACTTTACATAATTTCCCCATCGATCCATCGATTGTGGAATGTGCATAGGAAAATGAGAATCCCAGAATATCTTATTGTCCTCTGGGCACCTTATAACATTTTTCTCCCCCCCCCCCCCCCATAGGCTGCTTTAACCAGGGAATGAATGTGGATATAATTGTAGGCATTTTGCCATTGGAAAAACTATTTTCTTTTATAAAAAGATGGGAAAGAGTTTAATATACTCCATAAGGTCAGAGACATTCATCCATGTTGTGCTTTAAATAATCATAAAACACAAATGCTTCTTGGGTGGATGGAGGTTGGTCTTGGCTTTACAACTTTCTATTATCTCCATCGTCTCCCTCTCTGTCTTCACATTAAAAATGCTGAAATGGTTTTTTGTTTGAAGCTAATGATGTGGCTTGCAGTCAGTGCTGCATATTTATAAATCAGTTTCCCGAAAAACAAGTGCAATAGATATGATGAGGTGATCCTGTATAGAATTTATCTTTAGCAACCAGTTCATCCATTTTCCTTGAAGCTGAGCTAATAGAAGAGTGTGATCAGCACATTTCATTCTGGACATTGGCAAAGGAGGGAAAATACCATAGCAAATGGTTGACACCCTACTGATTTTTTTTCTTATGTATAATAAATGATAGGGATCCAAGCATTCATGAGCAGTAGCAACCATTAATCACATTTGCATTTAAATATTGCCCTAATATGCATTTGAATGAGCCTTATATTTAGAAACCCAGCCATCTTACACTGCCAACTTCCAGGTCCATTCTTGAGATTTTCACCCTGACATTCCTTTATGTGGAAGGCAGCTAAGTCTCTGTGGGGAAAGAGAAAAAGAGCTAGAACTATCTGCCCAGAATTGCTTGAGAATCTGACATTACAGTCAGGCTCTGCACCTGAACAGTATTAGTTCATGGAGAAAGTGGACAAATGTTGTGCCCAGCCCTCTTTAAATCTGAAGCCAATCCAAATTTCCAGGGACATTTAGAACATCTCCATATAAAAGTGCCCTCAGCCAAGTTCTTAGATTAACTTCACTGTAACTCTAATTCATCTCAATCAAGTGAAGAGAGATGGTTTAAAGCGATTCACTGCATGATGATCACTCAAGCCAGGATTCTTTAGGCATATTTGTTCCCCCAGAATTGAATTTTTGAGATTTATAATCTTGCATTCATTTGATGTTTACAATATCAAGTCACATGTCAAAGGCACTAGAAGTATCCATCCATCCCCAGTTATACAGTGAGTTGGCATATTACACACAGTATTTGTCATCTGACAAATCTTCAAGTCAGTTTTTGACAGCCTGTACTAGTCCCTGCATTTTTATTGACAAGGTTTTCCAAGGTTTTCTGGGGCTGAGAGACAGGGACTGGTCCAAGATAACCCAGCTGGACTAAGATGGAACTAGAATTCACAGTCTCTCAGTTTCTGGTGCCTTAAACACTACACTGGCTATTTCTACACTGGCTCTAGATTAAATAAACACGGAAGTGTTTGCTGAAGGCACCACTGTTTCTTTTCAAGAAAAGTTTCCTTTATGTCTTTGTAATGTAACTGAAACATGAAATGCAGCTGAGGAGCTTGTGATTAATAGCCATGTCTTTCTAAGAATG